ATGCCTTCTACATGTGTGGCAACACGGCAGAGAGCAGGAGAAAGAGCAGGTCCAAAGAGAGACTGCGAATGCAGAGTTCCTTTCAACCTCTCCTGAATCCTGGGGTATGTACAGGAAACTACAGGGGGGTATAATAACACAGTAAGCTCTGTAAGGGAGAACTGCCTGCACCCGCATCAGCAGCCTTGGATCAGGGTCATATAATTCCATGCTGCAAGCGGGCCGGGTGCCAGTACCATGGAAACACTTGATGCCGTGTTGCACCATTAAGCATTTTTTTTAGTGTACCCTGAATGTCCTGGCATGTACCTCTGGGCATACTAGACCTACAGATTGGGAACTGCTGATCTAAGTGATCAAATCAGTTAGCCGAAAAGTTAATTTGCATGCACACTGCCCCTGGAAATGCCCATATGCAACGCTGAGCCTCCGTGACTGAAAGACCTAAAAACCTTCCACACATTCCTACTGGCCCATTACTAAAATGAGCTTTCTTATAGGCCAACATGAGGGAGGATGGGACCGATCATCCTCAACATTACTGGGAAAGGACACAGCTCAGGATCTAGTTATAATTGCGGGGACCGCAGTCTGCTTACAGATTTATTTTTTAGGACCACTTACTAACTTGTTCCGTTAAATTACTGCAAGTGGGTTGATGTGCTGTATTTTGTGCACCAACCTATAACAGAACACACCCCCAAAAAAAGGGGCCAGCACCTTTTAAATGCATGGTATGTCCATTGTGCAGGACTGTCAGTACCAACTATACTGTGTGCTGGGGTGCCATTCTTAATTAAGGTCACTGCACGGGCTGCCATGCAAACAGCTAATGTGTTGTACAACATTTCTGAAAGGAGACTAATATTGGGTATACACTAGAAGTGCACCGAAATAGAAATTCAAAAACCAAAACAAAACCGAAATAAAAAAAAACAAAAATCTCAATCTCTTTTTCTGTATCCCGTGTTATCAATGAACAGGAATCCTGTATAAGTGTTCCTGTTCATTCATAACTTGGGAACATAGTATGTTTACTATAACTACAACTATGACTGAACAGGAGGGGATGTAGATCACTCCCATTCATTCATAATTGAGGGTATAGTAACCATACTCTGTCCTCAAATATGTACAAACACTCAGCAATCGCTGAGTGTTTGCACTTGCTCTCCTTCCTGACACTCTGTCACAGGACGCTGAGAGAGCGGTGCAGGGAGGAGAGCTCAGCCTCCTGTGACAGCACGGCTGTCTCCGCCCACACACCGCTCTGCCGGACTGTGATAGGAGTCTGTGGGAGGAGAGACACCGGGCGCTCACAGCGGTCTTCCTCCCGCAGCGCTCGGCCGGCTCTCACTTTCTCGCCTCCCCGCTGTGATACAGAGCAGCGCCCAGCGGGGAGGAAAGAAACCTGGGATGTATCAGCAAGAAAATGGCACTTTCGGCATTCAGCCAAAAGTGCCGTTTTCGGACGATATATTGGTGCATCCCTAGTATACACAGTAACATTTTCTTCGTTCGACCTGCGGGCTAAAAGAAGGAAAACATCATAGATTCCTCCAGCCACGCTTAACAGCCTGGATGAACAAATCACCCGCTGTTTATATTGCAATAGCCAGCACAAATTTTATGCATCACCAGACTTTTTTCCCTCTCTAGAGCCGATACACAAAATACACCAACTAGAGAACTTTTCAAACCATTTTAAGGGCTCCAACGTTAACAGTTTGCATTATCACTAGGGATGCACCGATATAGTTTTTTCTTTATGGAGTACCGATACTTCCGCTGGCATGGAGCCGGCTTCCTGGGTAATCAGGAAGCCAGGCGGCATGTTATTACATGCCGCCTGGCTTCCTGATTGGCCAGGAAGCCAGCTCGATGCTGATTGGCTGGGAAGCCGGCTTCCCAACCAATCAGCAAGGAGCCAGCTTCCTAGCCAATAAGGAAGCCAGCTCCACATTCCCCTACAGCACTGCCGGTCAGAAGAAAAATATTCCTCTGACCAGAAATTCTAGTATTGAGGAAGGTATCTGAGCATTTGGCGAGTACCAGTACTTGCCCAAACACTCGGTATCAGTGCATCCCTAATTATCACAAATGAAAGAATGAAAGATTTAGCAATTTGTCTTTAAACCAGATCAGGCAACTTCCTAATTCTAAATAAAACCAACTTAAGATGTAAAAAAAAAAAAAAAAACCTCTGAGCATGTTAGTAATACCAGTACGTTGTGACATTTATATCCGTCCTACTATGTCTACTGGTGACATCTTTGACAAGTCCTTGTCACACGCTGCCATCTCCTTGTATAAGATTACTGGCCCACTAATAACATTTACCATAAACGTGCACATTTGCCCTGTATCCCTCCACTTCTACACCAAAGGGCAAGTCAATCTCACAACAGTAGCTATGCAGGACTGGTCACTACCTAAATTAACAGCATTTCTAACCAGCATGCTCTTCAGGGCTAGACCCTGATACCTATGCATTGACAGTGTTTAACTAGTTAACATATGTGTAGCACTCTAAAGCTAACCGCAGATCTAACATGACTGTTATAAATGTAAAGATCAGACGACAGCTACATCCCTTTCAGTACTAGAATAAATTACCAGCAAATGTATTCTAGACAAATTACAAGATTGGGAGTGTTGGAATGCTTGGGGGATTTAAACCCAGGCCCTTGGGTCTAGAAGCAGGGATTGTACTGAGGAGAGAAAGTTCTAAAAATTCAACCAGGAAAGTTTATATGAAAAGATTGTTTGGATATATATATTTTGGTGGGCCAATTACCACACTACTCCAAAACCGGAAAAGAACTCTTGCCCTCTGAAAGCAATTTAAAAAAACATACCAAAAAATGAGCATCTAAGCATGCATACAAGTGGTAATTGAACTGCTCTTTACTTAGAACAGTGGTCCTTAGTCAATCCAAAAATGCTCTTATTTCAACATGCTCTACCCACCACAAGTCAAAAACCAAGGACCTCCTTCCCTTCTTTGTGTCTATGCATTATACAACTAGAATGATTTTCTATTAAGACAATAATCCTACAGTAGTGGCATAATGGTAAAATATCTTGCAGTGGTAGTAGAGATGGATTACAAAAGAATGTGCCTGTTTTGCATTACAAGTAGTTTTGACTACAGCCCCTAGAAGTTCCTGTCATACTTATATCCATATTACATTCATGTAAAATAGTTCACGAAAACTGTCTGGAACATCAGCGCTTATTTGCTACACACAACTATTGTCTACAAGCTAACAACGACAAGCCAACACTATCGTAGCTTCTTTATGGAAAGTTCAAGTCACCTACAAAGTTCCATTACATGCTAAAGCTGACAAAGTGAAAACAACTTGCACAACAAGCAAAGTTTAAGAAAAAAAAAAAAAAGGCAGGCTTATATGTAACCTACAGCAACCATATGCATGTTTCAATAGTAAACAAAACTAATAATAAAAAGCTATAGAAAACGGAGTATGGCACGGTCACTGTACTTTGCACCATTAAAGTAGATTTCCACTTTTCATTGTTGTGTTCCCAGAATACATGAAAATATTTCTACCTTTCTAATTGTTTCTTTAGAGCAGGATTATACCCAGGGCACTATAGACAACCCCCATTGCTCAGAATAGGTGGCAATGCGGAGATAAGGGACAGAATAAAAGCTGGCCATTCACTAAAGTTTTTTGGTCAGGCTTAATCTAGCAGATTCTTCCATCCATGTTTAAAAGCCCAGATGGAATTTCAGCCATACACAGATCAAATGTTAAATAATTCCTGCTGATTCGAATGAAATTTGAGCTGTGGGTCAATCAACTTTTCTTGAAGGAGCCAGGAGTGTTAAATTCCCAGCCAAACAGTGACTGCAGCCAATCCTCTACAATCCATGTGCAGGTATTCTGTGCTAACTAATCGATTTTGAAAATAATCGTTAGCTGCAGCTCTAGTCAGAATACAATAGCCATAGGGGAGATTGCCCCACCCATGTTGTTTAGTGTGAATGGGGGAAGTTTAGTGTTTTTCCCCAGGCTGCATGAAAGAAAAAAAAAAGAAAATAAATGTAAGGCAAGCTTAAGACCAGACCAGCACCCGCAGCCTTTTCCCTACTTTGCTCCTGCGGTCAGAGGCTCATTGACATTACATACGATCTAGGCTCCACAGCCCTGCATTATATACGAGGACACTGAGGGACAGTTCATGGGCCAAAACATGGAGGAAGGGGATCGCTAACCACCTGCAGATCAAGGAAAATAAAACTGCTAAATGAGCAGGTCTGCCCCTACGCCGCAAGGGTTACCTGCTCCTTTAGGATGTTTAGTTCCTCCAGAGGACTTTAGGACAGATCTGCCAGCACAGACAGGGTTAATTATGGCAGATATTACTCCCCAGCCTCCTCCTTCACATTACATCGAAGGGGAAAGTGAAGTAAAGATTTTCCAGTAAGTAAAAAAGGTAAGCAGCTATTTTTAAATATTTAAAGTTCTGCTACATGAATGACAACAGGTGAAAACACAAAAAGGTGTTCTCCCCAAAAAGTGGAAATAGACTTTAAGCGCTCGGAGGCAGCCAACAAATGTGTACAACAAGCAGAGGAGCTCACAGATCTAGGCCATGGACAAGTTACACAGAAGGCCACAGCTGCCGAGATAAAACCGGTGCCTCTATGACCCAGGTATACACATAACATCGGGATGCCTCAGACATAAAGGAAATCCACAAGTCAGGACGGCATACAAACATGGAGAACAACTTCCCCGACTTTCTTTTCAGGTCTCCTCGTCCGTGCCAGTGATCACAGCAGGGGGTGCTGCTTCCCCAGAGACACACATGTGGATCCATGCCGGGGATCCTGTCAGTGTGGAGCCCGCTTCGGACACATTGTGAGGGGGGGGACGGGGGTGTTGGAGCACCGGGGTAGCCGTGACAAAGCAGGCCGGTGTATATAGGTGTGTGTGTGTATGTGGGGGGCGGGTCTCCCCCAGTCTCACCTCATCCTCCCTCTCGTTCTTGAAGCACAGGCAGGCCGCCCGCTTCTTGTAGCCCTCCCTGTCGTAAGTCCTAGTCTGGTTTCCGCGAGCCGCTGCTCAATGGACCCTGCGCGTGTGCGCGCTCCGCGAGACTGTACAGGGCGTGGCGCGCGCATTCCACTATCTGCGGAAGCCACGCCTTCTCTGCTGCGTGTGCGTGTGTCCCTCGTGTTGCGGGTGAGGGGATGTGGAGAGCTCCGCCTTCTCTTACTAGTGTTACCCGGGCAACCGTCCAATAAAGAGCCTTTTGCTGCGTGTAGAAACGTCGCAACACACCTAGTTGTCTGTCCCTGTCTGCGCGCTGCTAATTGTGTGATCAGTCGCCGCTACTGCTGCTGAAGGCGGTTCCCCGCACTGTGTATAGCACATGCTTGAGGAGGAAAGCAGAGTGATGGCATAGTATCGGGCGGAGATGAAAAGGAAAGCTGAGTTTATGAGCTCAGATCATGTATTCCTTAACCTAGGGAATAGGTGTATATCAAAGAGCAGGAGCCAAATAAAACAATGTCTATTTCCTCTAACTAATGAGTGAACTTCAAAGCTTACTTAATTGCTGAGTAAAGTTGGCTATACGCACTTCGCATTTCAGCCCAATGCTGCTAAATCGGCCAACATTCGAGTTGCGGGTGGTCATGTGGGCCCCGCTCATCTCAACATAATTCAATGTAAACATCAAAAGAGTCGGTGTTCTGTCAAAAGCTCCAACTCGTCCAGATCTCCAACTGGTGACCAGTAGTAAACTATATCACTAGTACACCGTGGTCAAATCTTCAGAAAGTGATAATTTTATTGAAACACACACATCTTGTCACATTGCAACGTTTCGGGGTTCCTTCCTCAGGCAACACAAAGTGTCATACTCCATTGTGAGCTAAATACACTCCAACTGGTGACGTCATGGCCATTGACTTGCTAGTGTGCGTGCACCAGCCGTATCCAGTAGGAGATTTAGACCACATGGCTCTGGTGAGCGTGTGCCACTGTCAGGATCCTCATCGAGTTATCGAACTCCCGTCACTGCGCCTGCGCGGCTTCACAATCCCCATGAAGTTATCCAACCCCCCTCAGTGCTCCTGTGAGAATCAGCTCCTGCAAATGCCCTTACTGAGTCTGCGCACCCATACAATGGCACAATGTGGTATGGCAGGCACACTAACGGGGGTTGTGAAGTTCAAATAACTCGATTATTCTTCAAATAACTCGAGGATTCTGACACAGGCATGGCTGGCCTACACGCACTAGGGCCACCTGGTCTAAATCCCCTACTGGCAAGTCACCAGACGTGATGTCATCAGTTGAAGATCTCGACAGTTGGAGTTTTTGACAGAATACCAGGTCAACAATGATTGTCCGAATGCTGACTTCATCCTATCAGATGCAATCGCTCTTCATGTATTCAGACAGCCGTCTGGATACAATTGCCGGCAGTGGAGATTCTGTCATCCACACTGTTAGCATGGATAGAGAATTCATTGGACTTACATTCAAGCCGGATGAAATTAAGAAAAAAAAAGAAAGAAACCTTTCAATTTGAGTGATACCTGTGATGGAGGCAGACCCGCATAGGGCTCCTTAGTTTAAAGTGACACTACACTCGGAGTTGAATCTTAAAAACCCATTCAAGTACCCTAACTATTAACAAAAATGTATCTTATTTATGTATCACTCAGCTAGAGATCCTCAAATCATCTATAAATATTGGAATGAAACGTGTGAGCAGTGTATGTCATGCATGCCCTCCACAGCAGCTGCCAGGAGCAATGTGTTCCAATGTCCACATCCTTGCTGTGCCAGGATCTGCAAACCATATTTGTCACAATGAAGTCAGGCGCTCCCTTTTTCATCAGCGCCCACTCTCGCGATGACCAGTAGAATCTAATGTGAGGCTTGGTGTTTTATGGGGCATGTGCAGGATTTGTTAGTGACATTAGTGGAGGGTGGAAGAAGACATGTAGGAAGTAGGCACTGGTATGGGTTTATTTACTAATGGATCGTGGAATTTAGTTATGCTTTAAAGTATAATTAAAGCCTCAGTTTTTTGCATATATCTACTGCTAGTAAGCATTAGATATATGCAAAAAGTGTTTTTTTTAAAAAGCTCTTTAAAAGAGGTTAATACTTACCTGTGTCTTCCCCGCGCGCTCCCGTCCGAAAATGTGAGAATTCTCAGGCGGCCGCAAAGCATCTTGGGACGGGTGCATGCACAGTTCACATTTTCACCGGGAGACGAGGAGAGACACAAGGTAAGTCTATGGACGCATGCAGACACTGTGGGACAGGAAGTGCCAGTAAGGACAGAGGAGTCAGCGCTGGATGAGAGACCCGCAGCAGCGCTGAAGGGACAGATGAAAAGGATAGGAAAGAAGAAGATCAGATTAAAGGAGAACTATGGGGTCAGTGCTTTTCCCCATAGTTCTCCTAAAGGTCACGGGAGGACACAAACGAGCGCTACAGCTCGCAGTATACTAAGACTGCCGCAGCCGGGACGGATCCCAACATACCCGCCCCCTCCCCTGTTCGTTCCGCCAGTCAGCGCTGGAGGATCGGACAGGGGAAGAGGGAATCCCTGCAGAGAGCCGTGAGTGACAGTCACGGCTCTCTGCAGGGACGGGATTGAGAAGTAAGCGAGCGGCGGTATGTGTTCGCTCACTTCCCGATTTATTGAGCCGACGTGTGACAGTTTCATTGTCTCACGTCGGCTTGAACTATGAGGCTGAGTGATTTTCACTCGCCTCATAGTTCCCCTTTAAGAAACATCATTTAAGGTAAGTGCTTTAATTAACATTGGGGAGGGGAAAAATATCTTTGACTTTAATGTCACTTTAAGGGCGAATTCACACTATTGCATTTTGTTAACAAGCAGTAAAATGCTTGCTTTGTAATGCCAATTATTTTACATGTGACCCACCGCACATATACAGTGCACCACATTGCATGTGCCCTGCAGTGTGTTGAAAATGAAATGGGTCACCTTACAGTAGAACTTTTGACAAAACCTTTTTTAATTTTGGATAGAGTGGGGAAGTATTAGCACCCCCGTTAATTTGTTATTGCTGCCTGTACCCCTACTAGGAACATTCACCCTCTCTGTTTGTGCTGCTGACCATTGTCACTGGGACTAAAAAATGAGGGGAAATTTAGCATTTTGAGCGCTAGAACAGAAATAGAGCAGAAAGCTGTAGGAATAGAGCAGAAATTATTACCTAATTTTAAGAGATCTCCTTTCACTTTCTGTTGTGTCTACCAGACAGGAAGTGAAGGGAAATCTCTTAAACCAGACAGATGGCAAAAAAATAACCAGATAGGGGTTTTAGCCATTCCTTACTTAATCCAAAATAGAAAGAAATGGTTTTGGCTTTAGATATACTCGTACCACGTGTAAACATATTACAACACTTTTTGTACATTATGAGGTATTTTAAAATGTTTTTATGTTGCAGTATTTTGTAGTTTTCAGCATGTAACAATTTGGAAAATATATTTGATGGCAATGAATGCCAGCTATGTTGATAATAGAAATAGTAATCATGTTACAACCTCAGCAAATATTAATTGATGATAATGTATCTTTAATGATTAATAAGTAAAGCAGCTAACAAAGACAACTGCAAATAGTCGCCTTCGTGTTGTGTAGTCACCTGTGATAGCTTTATAGCTAAGCGGTGCCGCAGTATAAACTATTCCCTGTGAGCAAATGCAGAAATCAACATAAGTCTGTACACACCATTATATGTAAATGTCTGAAGGATCTTTTACCTCTTATCTTCAAGGTTTTCTTTTTTTTTTTGTGATGAGCCAGTTTCATTATTACATTGTTTTTGTTTGCTAAAGGCAAGCCCTGTTTAGATATGGAATAAATGAAAGTCAAACTCCAGTTAAAAATCAAACTTCAACAATGCATTCTCTATGTATTACAATACTCCTCAGTTCCTTTTACACACATCTTTATAGCCCATCCCATGGTTCACTATCTCCAAGTCCCAGTTTCCTCTACCTGGAAAGGTTATTTCATGCCCTCGGGCCTGGTCACGGGACCGGTCCCCTCACCACCCCCCATGCCTCAGAATCCTGACGTCTGAGCGCCATCATGAAAAGATAGTGGCCGGTATTATTTTACTATATTCACTCCAGCTGCCATGTTACAGCTTCCATTACGAACCGAGCTGCCAGTTTAGGAGAGGAGAGGGGGATATGCATGGGATTCATGGAACTTGTTATCCCAAACTTAGGAAAGAAATGATATGCCGAAGGTGAAGATAACCTCCTACAGTTGTACACGTACCGCTATTGAACCATAGGCGAAGTGATGGCGTCAAAGATACAAATATGCATGAATTATAGTTTATGAAGTACTAAAATTCAGAATAAAGAATAAAATAAATGAGGGAATAGAAGTTTGATGAGTACAAACTGCGGTACGAATGTTGTTTGACCTTGAGTTGGTCTGGTGACAGGGTCTCTAAAAGTAGGCTAAGCTGAAAGAACATATGGAGATTGCTTTCCAACTCCTAGATGCAAAACAGTCAGAGCCAGACTGGGTTAACTGTCTTATGCCTTCCCTCTCCTACTCCAAAGACTGGCAACTAACATACTAACAGGATCACATATATTGTCGAAAGCATTGGCACATGGTTTTGGAATCAGATGTCAAGCAAGTGCATATAGATGTTATTGCTAGTGCTCCACAAACTTTTGTGAACCTGCCCTCCCCCTTAAGGGCCGGTGCACACCTAGGTGGCACCTGACCGTGCGGCAATCCGGGGTGTCGGATAGATGTGCACCGGCCCTAGGCAATTTATCGCGCGGTTTGAGTCGCACAAAACACAGATTCGCATTGAAGTCAATGGAGGCTGCTCACACCTTTGCGGTTTGTCGCGCGACTGAAATCACCTGTCGCGCGAAAAGGTGCAGGAGCGATTTTCGGGCGGTTGTCATGTGGTTTGGGTCCTATAGACATCTCTATGCATTGAAAAACGCGCGGAAACAGCTCAGCATCTGAATCACCTAGGTGTGAACCTAGCCTTACGGCTATAAAAGCCTCCGCAATTTTGGGAAGACTTTCCACAAGATTTTGGAGTGTCTGCAGGAATTGTTTAATCAGGGTCAGGGGCTATTAAAAGAAAGAGTAATCATACAACTGACAATGTGGACGTTCAATTCTGACATCATCCGCTACCAGGATTTTCTTATGCCTATTACCTGTTGGACCCCTGTAAGAGCAGTAACTGTTTTTATATTTTAAAATAAATCTATGCAATATTACATCATGTAGTGAACCTACTGTGAAGACATACTTCTATGATCTTGATTTTCTTTTTCAGATTTTCTCTACAACTTGCTGACGTGCAGTTATCTGTTTCTGAGGTACTGATATGCTAGGTCTCAAGTAGTGGTAGTATGTAGCAAATTATTCATATTTCTGCATTGACTTTTAAGATGACAACATTCTCAAACTTTATTGTTTATTCAGTGCCACCAGATTCAGTATAAGCTGAACCTCATGGATACTTAAGAGCTGGTGCTATTACATCCAGCTAACATTGATATGTTATTGCTGACTGGAAAGAGAAGCTTGACACATTTTGTTGTGCTGCCCTTGGGCATTGGTGTCCTAGTGACACATTGCAATACCCTCATCAAAATTCCTGC